GTGATAACTATAGACGTTCCTATTAATGATGAGGCTGCGCTCATACACTGCCCATGATGATCTGCTACTGGGACAAATATGTCCAAACAACCCCCAACTTAACCACAAGCTTTTCCTTCGAAAAAATTAATCAGTAATAGGGTTCAGTTGCGACCTCTTCACGGTTTCTTTCATGCTTCTTCTTCATTGTTGCACCTTCTATCATCTCTGCCTTCATTTTTGACTGGCAAGAGGTATATTCACTACCTTCAGCATGAAATACCTGAGCTATCTTTCGAATCCTCGGGTAGCAATACATTCGCTCCATTCTCCTTATTTACAAGCCGCTTCTCCGCATTCCGCCTCAGATTGGCTCCACTTATTTGTCTTGCTGTAGCTAAGGGGTCCATTGCGGATACTGAAATGACAGCTAGATATAGTTCATGTGGTATAACTAAAAGTAGCAAGCTTGCGAGGCAACACACGCTGAATTTCCGCATTAGGTATTGGTAAGGCATTTGTCTGACCATTCACGCGAGAAAACCGGAGAACCTCATCGCAGTTGAAAGATTTGTCGTGTGAAACAGAAAACACAGAAAGAATCCTTGATTTCGAAACTGTTTGAGATCATGAAGTGACAACTCCAGAAACTTTTTAACTTTTCGGAAAGATCTGCACAGTCACCTCCAAAATATCTATCTCGATAATCTTTTGGAACAATCACACTGTTCTGGCCTTTGAGCCAGAACCCGCCACCACACCGGCTCTTAGGGGGCGGGGCGAGTACGACAGTTGGGTATCGGTCGACGAGCACGACCGGTTATTTTTCCTCGTCCTCTGAAAGGCAGAACCCGCGATTATTCGCCATCTCAGATAGTGGATTAGGGGTTCCATATAGACGACAAGGGGTTGAGTAACTCGACAGTGAAGAAAAAAGCACAAAAAACATGCCACCTGCCCTAGATAGAACCCCATTTTGATCCCAGTTTGTACGTGCCCAATTAACTCTATCTCCCACACTACGCCCTCATACGCACAGCTGATTCACCGATAAGAACTCTACGATCGTACAAGTGACGATTTTCATGCTTTTTCGTCCTGCAATCTCGTTTTTCACTGAAAGCCGGGCATTGGAGGCGGAGTCTGGAGGCGGAGTCACTGGAAAAAAGGAGGAACCACTGAACCTATATTGCGCTATAGCGCCCCTCCCTTAGAATTTTTTGCCGCGAAACCGGTACAAGGTTGTTCGTCGGACCACTCTAACCTCCTGACGCCATATTTTCAACTTCGATACCTGATCGCGGACCGTGCCTTTGGATAAATCATTTGTCCACGCTCTTTTTGAGCCACCGATTCAAGAGGGAGAATAATTCTCACTCGAGTTGCATAAAAGGCGCCACCTTTCCGCCTAAGACACCACATTTTCTGGTGCATCGACCTGGAAACGAACCCGGGCCGCCCGCGTGGCATGCGAGCATTCTACCACGGAACCACCGATGCAGTGCTTCTTCTGTATTTTGTTAAACAGTATTCTTGTCCAATTTCATAGGCACAGTTTTTGCCTTGACTACAAACTAGCTGAATATGATGTCGGACACTCCTGTTGGCATGCGCTGCCCAAACACGACATGAGGAAAAGTAGGCATGCTACTGTAGCAACACGATCGCCAAGAGGTGTGGGCCGGTATGAATGAATTACATTCCATTTCCATTTCGTGTGTATCAACCAATTTTCCATCTGGAATAGTGGATCTTCCCTGCTTTTTAGATCGATTGAGAAATTGCAGTCCAAAAAATGACTAGCACTCCTAGTATAATTAGGAATGATGCTACTGCTAATGATGCTAATGCAGCGAACCGGCTAACAATGGGGGTTGTCCTATTAATGATTTCGATAGGAATTTCTGTGATACGGAGCAGAAATCAGGTGGAGTACTTGAAAATGATTGTATTCCGCTAGTTTGCATCAGTCTTATGTGTACATTTTGTATAATGGGTGAAGGTGGTAAGTTCATCTTTGCAGACATATTTCTGAGTGTTAGGCACTCGTTGTTGAAACATAATTCGAATGTTGCAGTAGGTGGATCGATCATGACCTTCCCGTTCTGACACCTGAGGTTTGAGGTGCTAAGTGCGATCGCGGCATGCACTGTCGCCTGGAGCATTACCAGGAGTAATAACACAGAGTTGCAATTAATTTTGCAATATGATCGGACACTCTGTGAAGGATATTCAGGCGTGTTCTACTGAGGTCATGCTGACCGACGTATCTTGATCTTGGGTATCTTCTAGACTACTTTCGAACCCTTTTATAATATCGTAAGCTCTAGTTTTTTCACTTTCGTTCCAATTTCGCTTATCCAGTGGCTTGCATTTCTTTATGAGTCTCAGATGCAGATTTGAGGTTTTGTTCACTGAAACTTCTTATTTCGAGGGGTAAAGCCGACTCATTGGGCGATGAAGGATTTTCCTATTTGGCAGTAGCATAATTCGAGTGTCTGTATTTGGGAGTGGGAATTATACGTTCTCTCGAAGGAAGTCTATTGATCTCAATGGAATCTCTGTGATGTCGGGTGGATCCAATTTCGTCAGAGGGCGAGTGTTTAGTATTCCTCCTTTTTTCTGCCACACTCTTCTGTAGGCATTTTTTGACCGACCGACCAGTCTTCCCCAACCGCCGCCCATCCATGGACTTGCTGAGGGATTGAAAATCCACTTGATACCTTAGGAAGCACAAAATGTCATTAACGAGTTACCATCGGTGCTCTTTTTGAAAATGTCATAGAACATTCTTGATCTGAACTTAAAATTAGACCCACAGTCACTTTTAATGAGGTGAGGTACACCGCGTCTCGAAATAAATCGAGTGAAACTGTTGAGGAATGCGCCAGTAGACAGGTCCTCCACTACTTCTAGATGCACAGCACGGATTGTGAGGCAAGTGTACAGATACACATACATGGTTTCTCCGGTTTTGGGAGGGAAAGGACCCATAAAATCACAGGCGGCTGGTAACGGTGTGGTGCACCGAACGCCAGATTCCTTGCCAGCAATTGCAAATGACGCAGTCTTTAACCGCATTTTTATAAGCACTCGAAGAGCGCGGCCCAGAATCTTCATCCTGCTATGGACAGAGTGTGGTTTTTTTTCCGATATGGGCGTTGGACCTGCACGTCCCGTAGAGCTAATTTTGTTAAATAGCCTTTATTGGAAAGATAGATAGGAGACTTTGTACAAAGAGACAGAGCAGCGTTTTGTAGTCTTGAGACATGTCTAATTATACCTTCTGGATCTTTGATTCGAGAAGCGCCTTTGATGATCTTCAAGGCTTACTCCTCCATGGAGATTCTGTATGAGCAGTTTCTCTGCTAAATTTAAGTCAACAGCAGGAAATTTGGGGTGATGAATCGAATTTTGTGAGCAGCAGAGGCTTCATATTGGCTACGGCTTTGCTGTTGGTTAGATCTACCCATCTGCAAAGGCCTTTACCCTAGTTACTGTGCGTAGTAGAGCTTTTAAATTGGGAAAGCGAGACATATCAACCAGAGGGGCGGTCTTTTTTGATTCGCCGACGATAATGCGTGGCTTCCGCAATATCCGAATCACAGTCACTGTTGCGAACGTGGAGTTCATCTACTGGCTTAAGTTGTGCCGTGCTTGCGTCCGTTATCCAATGGGGATCTCTGATCCAGGAGTGCTCCGAGCTGGGATGCTAAGCCCTCTAGTGCCAGCATCAGCTAGATTTAAGATTGTTTTGACGTGCGCAAAGCGTACATCAACCATGCTCTTTTCTAATTCCTTTAATGCCAGTATTCTCCTGCGCTGGTTCGTAAAAAAAGTGGCAATTTCCGCTCTGAGAGGGTCGTGTTATTCTGCTAGATTTTTCTTATTCCGAGCTCCCTGACTTCATTGCTGAGAACAAGGCCTTATGCATTGCTGGCACTATCACTTTAATTACCGGTCTTCTACTTATTTGGACCAATAGTAATCATTACAATGTTCAAAATGCTATTGTTATCGATCAAATGTGTTCTGACTCCATGCAGGGCTATAAACGTATCTGTTCGGTCGGGGCCTACAAAAGCTTAGGCGTGGGAGATGAAAGACTCCTGCCGTCAAAAACCCCTTCCACGTTTCATAATAGTCATTCGGAAATCCTTTCTAAGTATATTTGAGATACCTACAACTCATCCTATGTTTGGAATATCCCCAACGGTACTTTTCTTTGAGTAAAAATTGTATATGAAGCCCACCGCCGAATGGGCCACACCAAATGGATCTGTCCGACGTCTCAAACATGCTCGATCAAGCCGAAGCCGCAGCCACTCCGAGTAACGCCAACATCTTCTTAGCGATCGGACACGTCGTCGCTCGCCTACAACAGCTCGAGGCTGCCGTCGAAGAGTTGCTGAAGCGGTCAGAATCCGCGATCATCCTGCATCTTCTGCCCATTGGCAGGAAATCGCGATGGTCACACCACGTCGCGATGCAATCGGTTACCCGACCCGGTTTCGAAGAACATGCAGGTTGCGAGGCTCGGCCTTTGTGGCCGATGCCGCAAACCATCGCATGCGAAAAGTGAAGATTGTGACGTGCAGTGTGCTGCGTGTGGGAGACCACACAACGTACTACTGTGCGCCAACCGCGGACAGCAAGGATTCAAGCGACGACGCCCCTGATGCAGCTCAGGACAACAAAAGAAGACGTCGGCAGTAGATCAATTTGTAGTATATTGTTTGTAATCTTTGCTCATTTTGATTGTGGCTGGCGGGAGTGTTCTGGCCTTTGAGCCAGAATCCGCCAGCACACCCGCTTCTGGGGGGGGGGGGGGCGGGGGGAGTATGACAATTGGGTATCGGTCGACAGCACGACCGGTTACTTTTCCTCGTGCTTCAAGGATAAATCAGTTGTCCATACTCTTTTTGAAACACTGATTAAAGAGGGAATAATTCTCTCTCTCGTTTAGCATAAAAGCAGCCACCTTTCCGCCTAAGATACCGCAACAACTTTCTGTTATAACCTCAGTGTGCTTGAAATTTCAACTCACATGGCACTCCGATCGTTCCGAATAGTTCGTTTTCAGCACAGAACGTCCTATTTTCGACAGTTATCTTTACAGTGTTTTGAGTTCGTGTGGCTGAAAGAGAAACCAAGACAATATTTGAAGCGATAAAAATCGTTAGAAACATGGCAGAAAATAGTTTTTTTTGAAACCACAACAACTGCCAACTTAAGAGTGATAGCACGCCCATACTGGAGATCTCAGCTTATGCTCCTAGTGTTAGCACATGAGACGAAGACAAGCTAGGGAACTCTTTTCATAAAGGAGTGAGAAAAAAGAGCTCGAGCAGCTCTTAGACGTCCTTCCTTGAACAATTAGTCTGCCCTCAGTCTCCAAGATTACCCCTTTTCGGGGTTTCGCAGTAAGTGACGAAGGCGCTTTGACCCTCATAAGTGGCATTTCTGACGCCTCCCTAGTTGTCCCGCCCACCAAACTCAAAGGCTATTTTCTGTCACAAGTTCAGTTTTTGCGGTTTTCTGTTTTTTTTTCTTAACATAAGTGCTCGGCGACGCGTGGAAACGACTATTTAGCTAGAGATGGCAGGATATCGCTCTGTTATTATAAACTAAGCAGATGCGGAAAACTCATTCAGAGAGGCTGCCAGTGCTCTACTTAGAGTGTTCTCCATAATTTTCTTTTCGCTTTTTTTCTCTCCCGGAGGGTTACTCAGCGATCACAGGTTTGTATTTAGGCGCTATCATCCACAATACATAATCGCGGAGTTGTCCATCCATGTGAAGCTGTCGTTAAGATCCCAAAGGGCAACTGAAATTGCAACCCATCTGCCACAAGAAGAACTACGGGACTCACCTTTCTTTTTGAAGGCACTATCTGCTTCAGGCGCATGATGCGGCTGCTTTTTGCTCGCTGCCGGCTGTGCGACGGCGTATACTGTATTGCTCTGTAACCGAAACAAACTGATACATTGATATTATGAATAACCAGATTTAACTCCGGTGTGGGGGCGAGAAGGGCTCTATACAGTGCGTAACAAAAGTATGTGGATACCTTGAGCTTTTGTCCTGCAAAACACTACTTCTGAGCACTTTGTAGACTAATGTACAATTACTTATTGTTTTGAAAAAGTTTCTTAATAACAAAAGTATGTGGACACTTACAAAAAAAAACAAATGTATCGTGGAAAATAGAAGTTGGTTCTTCCTCCAGCGTTCACTATTACTTCGAACATTCTGTCTGGCATGCTGTGGACAAGATTTGTCATGGTGTCTTCGTCGATTTCCTCCCATGCAGCAACTACCGCCTCCTTCAAGTCTCGCACGCTGTTGTACTGCCGACTGTTCAGATTCGTCGAACCATGATCCCCCACAGGATTTCGGTTGGGTTGCAGTCAGGAGAACACGCCGGCCAATCAATCACTTTGATACCATTGCGTTGGAGCCATTTTCTAGTAGAATTTGAAACATGCACGGCGGCGTTGTCCTGCTGCATCACATGTGTCCTGCGTCGTGGCCCGCTCAGAAAAGGCAAGAGGTTAGACTCAAGCACTCCTTGGTATTCCTGACTGTTCATACAGCACGATGGGAAGGCAAGCTCCAACTTTCCTCTGCTTCCAAAACCACCCCGTACCATCAAAGAGGCGCCTCCGAAATTCGTCTCGAGAACACCAACGGATCGCTACAAAGGTCTTTCCAGTAATGCTGATATCCATCTGGACCGTCGAGATTGACTTTTTCTTATCAGTGAAGATAACCTAAGAAAGAAATGCGCATAAGATGTTGCCTTTCTGATTTTACAAATATCTCAAGAAACTGCACCTTGTCCCACGACGTCGCCATGTTTGCACGCGCAAAGCTCAGTCTTCGAGGCCATTCTTCTGATGTTTTTTGCGAACAAAGATCGTGGGTACCTCGAAAGAGGTACTGAGTGTTGGCCATCAGGATTATGGAGGAGTCACGTCGCCGAAAGTCCAAGCTGCCTTGCAATTTCTCTATTCGAGTGTCCTGCAGCACTGAAAGCTCGAATCCGAGCTTGTTCGTCTTCGTAGAGAGGACTACCACGACGAGGCATGAGTACAGGTTAATGGGGACTAGAGACCAAAAATGGATTGCAGATCTGGAGCCAAACTTTGGACTTCCTCAGGTGTCCACATACTTTTGTTATTAAGAAACTTTTTCAAAACAATAAATAATTGTACAGTAGTTCACAAAGTGCTCAGAAGTAGTGTATTCCTATGTTTTCGCTTATGAGGAATTCAACAATAAAGGTCTCATATCGCAAAATTCAAAGGCAATTTTGCAGGACAAAAATTTGAGGTGTCCACATACTTTTGTTACGCACTGTATCCTCGTTTTGTACAGCAACGGCGACATGGTATCCGTGTCGCCGTGGCTGTACAAAACGTCTGGTTAGAAAAAAAAACCAGTTCCATGACAGCAAGAGTTTAGAGAATCAGAGAGCACTTATCACAATGATAAACTAACCTTATGGTGATCTGAAGGAAGATCGTCGAGGTAAGGACCTATTCTCATATTCTGCACCTCGCACAGTAATTCAGTCAGACAATTAATCAGTACTTGAAGTGCAAAAGGAGGCTGAAAGTGTGCACTGTTCAATCAATACACTCGCAATTCTAG